TTTGTTGTTTTGTTTTTTTGCTTTTTGGGTCACACCCGGCGATGCTCAGGGATTACTCCTGGCTCATGCACTCAGGAATTGTTCCTGGCGGTGCTCAGGGGACCATATGGGGTGCTGGGAATCGAACCTGTGTCGGTCATGTTGGCTGCGTGCAAGGCAAATGCCCTACCAGCTGTGCTATCACTCCAGCCCCCAGCACCAATAGTTTTAATTTTTCATGCCTCCCTCTAGCCAAGATGGCAGCTATATCCATTTAACAGCACCTATATCACACGTAATTACTAAAATCTATGTTAAATTAGAATCATTGTTTTTTGTTACAGTAGTCCCAATAGTGCACAATCAAGTACTTAATATTCAAGTGAGGGGTCCTGAGAGACAGTACAGAGGATACTGTACTTGCCTTGCACATGCCAACCCAGGTTTTATTCCTGTCGCCTCATATATGGTTCCCTGATCCCCACCAGGAGTGATCCCTGACCACAGAGCCATGAGTAAGTGCTGAGCACCAAAGCATGTAGCCAAAAAACAAAAACAAGAAAAATAGCTATGTGGTCAGTACCTACCATACTGGACAGCACAGATGTGGCTGTTATCATGGACAATGCTCTGACTGAGCTGCTATGCTGTACTGACTGGACCCTAGGTTCTTAAACTGCGTGTGGGTCAGCATTGAGTATGTGGGTCACGAAGAAGCTGGCATGAGTAAAAGGTTTCTGAAGGCATAACGATAAAAATTTAACTCAAAATCAAATACATAATGAATGGAGCTACTTCTGGTAGTGCTAGCACTTCTTGGGCAAAAGGGGATTGCAAGCAGAAAGAGTTTAAGAACCTCTGTACTAGAGCTGAAGAGAGTTCAACAGACAAGTGCACACTATTCCTGGAACCACAAGGTCTCCCTCCTCCACGCCAGCACCAAAAGCTATGACCCCTGAGAAAAGAGGCATAGTCTCCGAGCACCTCTGGTTTAGACCAAATACCAACCTTCCCCCAGAAAGAGCAACGTTCTCTGGGCCAGAAAGACAGGAGAGTGAGCAAAGGCCTTGCCTCTTGCCTTGCACACAGCAGACCCAGTTTCAATCCCTGGCACAACAGATGGTCCAAGCCCTGTCAAGAGTGACTCCTGGGGCTGAAGCTATAGTAGCAGGGAGTGTGCTTGCCTTGCACACGGTTAACCCAGGGCTCCATCCCAGACATCCTGTATGGTTCCTCGAGCCTGCCAGGAGTCACCCCTAAGCTCACAACCAGAAGTATGCCCTGAATACCACTGGGTGTGACCTGAAAAAACAAAACAAAAAAGCAGCAGCCATGGACTCCTTGAGGGCAGTGTCTGCATTTTATTAGGATTTGCAGGGAGAGTGCTAGGCATCAAACCCCAAGTGCTCTCCTATTGAGTTAAGACTCCAATGTCTTATTTTGATCGCCCCACTTTATATTTTAAAAGTACATATCATACACGTACTTATGCATTTAATTAAAACTTTCAAACATAGTGGACTTCTCTATTCAATTCCCCCATCACACATACCCACATATGTGTACGTACACAAGACACCTTCTTGCTGGCTGTTTGGAGTGGACAGGGACACTTCATTCAGAGAAAGGTGGCCTTTATTCTAAGATGTACTAGAAGTGATGTACTAGCCTTGGGCTAGTCACCTACTTTATAAGATGTATAAGATGTACTAGAAGTGATGTACTAGCCTTGGGCTAGTCACCTACTTTATAAAAACTGAGACCCAAATTCCATGTACTTTGGGACAGAGAGCTCAATGAACTGAGCACACAGAAGACAAGCATGTTTTGGGGGGCAGGGTGGGGGGGCTGAAGCCTGGGTTCAATCCCCAGCACTACGAAGTCCTCCAAGCATCATCAGCACTGCCAGGGCCAAGCCTGAACACAGAACCAAGGTAGTCCCAAAAACCAAAAATTTTAAATAAATTCCATGCACCTTCGTTCTAAAACTTTAATCACCTTAAACCAAAAGAAATTAAGTTTTCTGTGGAGCTCATGCCTGCTTCAGTCACCTTAATCAGTGGCTGAATAAATAGCAGTACTCCTACATTAAAAAAGAAAAGAAGAAAAAAAAAAAGAACTTAAGTTTTCTACCCAAAGGCCAGTAGTACATATACCAGAAAACAGAAATGCTAACACTGATGGGCACCTCAAACGTACACGTTCCCACTTCTAGATTTCAGGATACCACAATTAATCACTTTTGGTTTTGAAAGCATGTGGAGTTTCCACCTTTACTTTGGGGATCAACTAGACACTTCAACCTCAGTTTAAAATACTGAGTCTCTTTCATGTGCTAAGGCTAGAACTGGATATTCTGTCCGTACCTGATCAGAGAAATACTGGCAAGTTTCTTGAGAATCTGAATTTTAAATAAATTTTCTCATTAGCTTCTCTATTAGTCTTAGCCTAAAAATTGATTTTTAAAAAAAAGTGAAAAATTGAGGACCAAGAAAAGCTTTCTGTAACAATTTTTATACTGCAAAGATATTAAATGATTTTATTTGGTCCATGTACGTCACCACATTTAACTGCTATAAAAAATTTATTGCCCAAAACCTCTTCATAATAACCTTCATCTGTACTCACTTCTATAAACCTTACATAATTTTAAGACCAACCAAAATTACTGGTCTGCCTTCCTTTAAAACTCAAATATGCATGTGTGTAGGTGTCACCAGCTTCACAATGGGGAAAAAACAACAACTCATATGAGGGGTATAAAGAAACATAGTAAGGTAACAGCAAATGGCTAAACTCATGGAGACTGGAGATTTTGTCTACAGAATTAAGTTCACATCAGGGCTGGGGACTGGACAGGGCCCACAGGACCTACGTGGAGGCAAGCAGGTTCACTATTGATGGATGTGGTATTGAAATGACATGTATGAAAAGTATAATTAACAGTACTGTAAAACCCAGAACCACAATAAAAATGGAAAAAAAAATTAAACTCAAATACGCTAGCCAATAGCAATTCAGACATTCTGCAATGAGCCTTTACAAAGTCCGTCAATTCCTCTGATGTCAAGGTTCTAATCTCTGTTAAACGCTTTTGTCATTTCTCCTGGAGAACAGAGTGAATTACTACCAATAGCCATTCTATCTGTATTTACCAACTCCCCAAAGTACCGACACTTCGTGGGTGACAACTAAACACTTTTCTGGTGATATGCTGGGGGACACACAAAGGTTTCCACCACAGAAGTATGTCTGATGGTGCAGAATTAGCCATTAAAGTCAACCAGTGTTGACAGCACACAGCGTTCTGCTGAGCCTTGTCAGCACGGAAGGTGCACCCCCTTCCCAAGTTAAAGGAACAAAACTCTCGATACTGAGAAACAGCCAACGCCTCTCTAGGTGAGAGATAATACAGGGGTTAAGGCGCTTGCCTTGCCGGCAGCGAACCAGGGCTGGGTCCATCACTCTTTCCTGTCTGCTCTTTAGAGCCGTGTTCTTGGAATATCCTGGTGAGCTGTATCTCTTCTAGACATTAAAGTCGTTAATGGTGATGGATGTGGTATTGGAATGACATGCATGAAAACCACCACATCCATCCCTGGCACAATACACAGTCCCAGAAGGCCACCTCTGGCCCTGGAGCACCCTCGAGAGTAACACTACCAGGTGTGGCCCCCAACCCTACCAGTAACACAGTCAAGCCCACACTACCAGGTGTGGACCCCACCCCACCCCCCCAAAAAATAAAATAACTGTTTACAGCCTAAAAGTCTATGACATTAAAGGGATTCCAACACTCCATTCATCAAAACCATTATGGGTCTGCGTGACCCACAATGTACTGAGAAGAACACGAGGCTGGAGAAGTAAACAGAGCTCTCAAGGGGGATGCTCCTGGTCTACAGCACCCCTGAAAATTCCAAGAACACGGCTCTAAAGAGCAGACAAGGAAGGAGTGATGGGGTGGGGGGATCGGATCAGAGGGAGCTCGGTGAGCTGTGCACACCGCAGTGGGGAGTCCTGGGGGTGGGGGGGTGGGGAAGGAGCTCCAAGCACTGTGCCAGGAGTAGCTCCCAGCAGGGGTCCCCAAACCCAAAACATCAAAATAAAACAAAGGTGGCTGCAGGGGGTGAGGGAGTCACAGAGAAGAGTGTTAGAAGTAACAAGGAGGAAATGGGTGCGCTTTTGGATGGAGGGGGAGGGAAGGTGGCGGGAGAAAGCGGGCGGGATCGACTGGGGGGGGGGGATCCCCGACCCCAGGAAAATGATGGCAAACACCTACGGGCTGTGCACGCCCCGTGCAGCCGAGCAGCAGCGGCGGCGGGTGCCGAGCTCCTGCGCCGTCCGTCCCACCCGGCAGCATGCGGAGGTCCTGGGTTCCGGGGGATGCTACACCCTGGGCACGAGGAGTCCCGCCAAGGTGTCCCCAAGCGACTCGCACGAGTCGCCAGGGCACCGCTGACCTCAGGCTCCAGGACTTGACCCTGGAGGTCCGGCTGCCTCGGGGTCAACGAGCAGTTCTGTGACCTTGGGCGGGGAGGTTCCCCCCCAACCCACCCACCCACCCTGAGACCCGGTGCCCCCTCGTCGTCCGGGCGACCCGGGGATGGGGGGGTGGGGGAGGCGGAGGTGTCCCGCGCCTGCCTCCACCCGGGGCGGCCGGGAAGTTGGGAGAGGTGCGGGGGTGGGGGGGCGGGGAGGGGAGGGGAGGCGGGGGGGGGGGGGACGTCAAGGCCCGGCGGGGCTGTTGACTCCCCCCGCGGCCAGTGTAACCCTGGGCGGCCCGCGGCGGCCCCCGCTCTCCAGGGGGGACGGACCCTCGCTTCTGGGCCGGAGTTGCCGAGCCGCGCGCGCGCCACAGCCCGCAGCTCCCCGGGGCTCAGCCCCGCTCGGCGCCGGGACCCCGCGGGGTGCCCCCCTCGCCCCCCCCACCACCCCCGCCACCAGGACCGGGCGCCGCCGCGGCTCGGAGGGGTGGAGCGGGGAGGGTCCGCGCCGGACGGGGAGGGCCGCCCGCGTACCTGAGGCGACGGGCGGGGCCCGCATCGCCGGGGCGGGGGCCGCCGCCGCCGCCGGCCGCGCTCGGCCTGCCGCCTCACGCGGCCCGCGCCATCGGCCCCCGGCGCTCCGCGGGCGAGATCGCTCGGTCCGGGCCGGCGGCGACTCTCGGAGGGCGCGCGCGGGGACGGACGACGAAGGCCGGTCGGGCCGGCCGGCCGGGCGCTCCGCTCAAGCAACTTCCGACTGCCAGGGGCCGGCAGCGTCAAATAACTCCCCGGGCCCCGGGAGCCACTGCGCCTGCGCACTCGCGCCCGCGCCGCGATCTCTGCGGGGCGGGAGGCGGCGGCGCGAAATAGTTCCCGAGACCCGGGCCCGGAGGCTGCGCGTGCGCAGCTCTCCCAGCTCGCCGCGCGGCGCGCGCTCCCTCCTCCCTTTCCGTCGCGAGCTGGGGAGGAGGAGCGGAGTGACGGAGGCGCCGACCTCGGCAGCGCTCCGCCTGCCGCCCGGCTGCAGCCTGTTTTCCGTGGGGATGGTGGCGCAGGGGGGGTGGTCCTCTGCAACATGCTGGCTCCCACTCGGGTCCTAGGAATTCCCCCCGCCCCCCAATCCCATCACAACTCCCTTTCTTTGAAATGATGCGCTTTTCTCCACCCCACCCCCTTCGGGGGGTCACCTAGTCACTGCATTAATTACGAGTTGTGCTCAGTTCTAGGCTGGTGTCGGTTACAAAAATGAATCAGACATCAGATTTAGAGCCTCTTGTTAGAAAAGCAGAGCCTGATGTAGGCGATGTCACTAGTGATGTTAATAACAGCGGCGATGCCAGTTTGAGCCCTTCCCAGGCACCACGCATTTTCTAAACAATGCCTACTGCTGTCAATAGTTTGGTTTCCGCTTCAGCGAGGAAAACAAATACCATTCTAGTGCAGTGGTACCGCACAAGTGTCTGGGCAGTAGTAAAGGAGGAAATTGGGCTAAGGAAGGAGAGAGATTGTTCTGGATGTTCAAGAAAGAAAAGAGAAGGGAGCAAAGGAAATGCTGGTTGCCGTGCCTCCAGCTAGACGGACCTATGGAGCAGGAGAGATCGCTCAGTGGGCTGGATCTCATGCTTTGCAGGAAGCGGCCCAGGTTTCATTCCTGGCACCACATAGTCCTCTCAGCATCCCCAGGAGTGACCCCCAAACAAGGAGCGCCTCTGGTTGTGACAAAAATACAAAACAAAAAAATTCAAAAATTAGTAGAGAAGATCATGGAGTAACTGACAGCTATATAGAAAGGGGGAAATGGGCTAGAGATGTGGCTCAGTGGTAAACTGTAAGCACTGCGTCCCTGCAATCTAAATTCAGCTCCTGCATTAAATTCACTTCAGCACCATACAGTTCCCTGAGCAAGAATAAAAGATAGGATTCCAGAGAAGTCCAGAGATCTCCTGCAAGGAGTAGCTAGTGGAAGGAAGAGGATCCTGAAGCAAGACTGTATCAGGACCAGAATGGAGCCACCTCCAGGTTCGAGGCACTGTAGCACTGTGGCACTGTCCTTCCATTGTTCATCGATTTGCCTGAGCGGGCACCAATAACATCTGATAACAAATTGTGAGACTTGTTGTTACTGTTTTTGGCATATTGAATACGTCACGGGGAGCTTGCCAGGCTTTGCCGTGTGGGCGAGATACTCTCGGTAGCTTGCCGGGCTCTCCAAGAGGTTCGAGGCAATGCAGTTAAAATGCAGCATGAAAACTGTTAGAGGCTTGTTCACGGGCCAGAGAGATACTCTAGCAGAAGTTCAGATGCTTAGATGCGGCAACTGACCCCAGTTCCATGACCTGGCATCACATATGGTCCTGGAAGCCCCACCAGAAATGATCCCTGAGCACTGCCAAAAATAAACACACACAAGGAGTTCTGTTCAATATTCATTCTGACCTCTTCTCTCTTTCCTTACTAAACTAGAGGCTGGAAAGGAAAACATGCAGTTCCCAGTATCCCTTGCAGATAGGAATGGCAATGAGACAAAATTCTAGCCAGTAAGACATAGCAGAAATCCCAAAGGAGGGATAACTTCCCTTCCAACAGAATTTAAAAAGAAAGTCTTTGAAAATCCTCTGGTTCCCTCTTTTCGTGCTTGGAACTGAAACACAGCACCATCGTGAGAACAAGAGGAAGGTGAAGTGTTTGGGGGGTAGGGAGAGTGGAGAGATAATGGAGAGTTTGAGACCCTTGCCTTGAATGCCACTGACTTTGATTCTACTTCAGCACCATACAGTTCCCTGAGCAAGGCCAAGAATGACTCCAAAGCACTACTAGGTATGATCAAAGCCTCCCAACCAAATAAAAGGAAGATGGAACAGAAAAGCAAAAGTAATCTGGTTTTTTTAGGACCTCCTGCCTGTTTTACAGAACATGGGGAAGGCGGCGGGAGTGGGGGTGGGGGGGGCGCGTGTTCTTTTGATTGGTGTTTTCAATCTTTTTTCAACTGTGGCTTCTTTCCAGCCCTTGATCCTTCCTATGGCATCCTCTTTCCTGCTGGTTGGTCCCTGAGTCTCACGACATGCCCCTCTCTAACTCTGACCCCCTTGGAGTATCCTGGGCATGCTTAGGGGGGCTATGAGCCTCAGTTGAGAAATCCTGACTTAGACACCACAGTTTGTTGAGTTTTCTGTTATTTTTAGCCAAAAAACATTCCCAATTTAATAAATATTAAACACTTGTAATAGACAAGGCAAACACCTAGTAATTGGGGTGACAAATTGCAAGTGAACAAGGGAGGGAAGTGGAAAAGTGGCAGACAGAAAAGCTTTCTAAAGACCTTGGGAAGAAGATGATGAAACTGTATCTGTCTCCCACCAGCTGACTTTAATTCATTCTGAAACTCCTTTATCTTTATCTGTCATATGAAAAACATTTTGTTCACTAATTTAATGGAGAAAATGGTTCAATTTCAACCCAAGGTACCTAAACACTTTTTAAGATATGGAAAAGAATGGAATCATGCAAGTAAGTTTAAAATGTGACTAATATCAAAGGGCTAGAGCACATGCCTAGTGTTTGCAAGGCCTCAGGTTCAATCCCTGGTACTGCATGGCCTCCGCAGCACTGCTGAATGGAGCCCTGAAGACCTCCAGCACCATCGAGAGCTCCCCTCAAAATGTGGTTATTACTTCAAATGTAAAGTACTGATTTGTACTGACGAAAAGTGCTAAAGTATTATTAGGTGGGGGATAGTGGAGAGAAAATTCAAGTAAATCAGTTTTGTAAAGGTGATGCTCTATTTCTGCAGCTTTCTCTTTACCCATTTTAGTTTCAATTTTAGTCACCATGAAAATAAGATATAACACACAAAAACACTTTGAGGGAAAGTGAAAGACTGAACATTAGAATAGCTCTGAGAGGGGGGAAGAGATGTATGAACTGCAGGCAAAGTGAGTGTTATACATTCTCCAAACTGCACATTATACACTTTCCACATCCTAACTTTGAATAGAATAAACTAGGGAAGTGTCTTCATCTGGAAGTGTAATGTCAATAGTCCTCTGGGTTTTGTACTGATTGAATGGGAATTTTAAGGGGAAAATGGGACTAGAGAGATAGGACAGTGGATAAGGTTCTTGGCTTGCAAAGGGCCAACTCGGTTCAATCCCCAGCATCCTATATGTTCTCCTAAGCACTGTCATGAATGATCCAGGAGCACAGAGACAGGAGTAATCACTGAGTTGAGTGGCCAACCTCTCAAAAAAAAAGAAAGAAAAGAGAAAATGGAGCAGTTGTATTAACCATCTCTGGTGGACTATTTTTCCAAAGATGGCTGATATAGAATCCATCCACTGTTCTTACAATGTAACCAACACTTTTTCCATGAACTGAACTTCATGCATCCTCCTCTTGAATCTAACTGGAGATGGTGACTAGTCTGGTTATAATAAGGTGGAAATAATGCTAATTTCTGGGTCTAGGTGACAAGAGAAGATGCAGTTTCCAGCCAGAAAGCTAGTATAAATGGTTAAGCGCTTGCCCTGCATGCGGCTGGCCCAGGTTCTAACCCAGGCATTGTGCATGGTTCCTACCAGGAAACATCCCTGAGCACCGAGCCAAGAGCAAGACCTGAACAGAAGCAAAAATGACACAGCTTCCACCTGACTCTCCTCGTTTTGCCCTAGTCAGCGGGGGAACCCATACACCATGCTGGGAGGAAACCCAGGCCATGCGGGCTGGGGTTGCCAACGAGAGCCGCTGCAGCTGTCAGCCTGAGCTGAGCTCTCAGCTGACCACACCGAAGGCCAGACAGGTGAGTGTCGGGGTCTTCAGGAGATTTCATTTCTTGGGCTTCAAGAACAGCCCACCTGAATGCCAAATGGTTCAGCCTTTTTGAAAAACAATATGGACATTCCTCAAAAGACTAGAAATTGAGCTCCCATTTGACCCAGCAATATCACTTCTAGGAATATACCCTGGGAGCCCAAAAGCACACAGCAGAAACACCATCTGCACGTCTATGGTCATTGAAGCACAATTCACAATAGCCAGAATCTGGAAACAACCTGAGTGCCTGAGAGCAGACGATTGGATAAAAAAAAACTATGGTAACACTGTAACATGGTAACACTGTAACACAGTAGCACTGTAGCACTGCCCTAATGTTCACCGGTTTCCTGGAGTGGGCACCAGTACCTTCTCCATTCATCCCTGTCACATGCTAGTGTAGGCCAATGGCATCTGCTCGCTCCAGGAACACGGAGTGAGACTTTTTTTGGCATATCGAATACGCCAAAAAATACGGGATGGAGGAATCAAACCTGGGTCAGCCACGTGTAAGGCAAACACTCTACCCGCTATGCTATCACTCCAGTCCAAAGAAACTATGGTACATCTACACAGTGGAATACTGCACGCTGTTAGAAAAAATGAGATCATGAAATTTGCCTATAAATACTTGTAGAGTATAATGCTGAGTGGCATGAGTCAAAAGGAAAGGAACAGATAGAGAAAGATTGCATTTATTTGCGGGTTATAAAAAAAAAGTAGCACTGTAGCACTGTCCTCCCATTATTCATTGATTTACTCAAGCGGGCCCAGTAACGTCTCCATTGTGAAACTTGTTACTGTGTTTGGCATATCGAATATGTCATGGGTAGCTTGCCAGGCTTTGCCATGCAGGCAAGATATTCTCGGTAGCTTGCCAGGCTCTCCTAGAGGGGCGGAGGAATCAAACTCGG